TTCACTCATATGTCACTGTGTACAGGGAAATTAAGCTACCAATGATGTATGACATTAGTAATAATGATTTCAATATGCAAAAAATCAATCCTTTCCTACCTTACAATGTAATTTGAGCAATATACGTGAAAATTATAAAAAAAAACAATGACAGATCCTGCACAATAAATTCAAATGTGACTTATTTTTTTTTTTCATGTTGTTAAAAGGTCAATGTACATATATATATACATATATATGCATGCATGAATTCACATCTTTGATTGGAGATTTGCTTGACCCCATGTCATACATGTAATCCTTTGTGTGGTACTGTTTGCTCGACAGAAGCTCTCAGTTGTGTAATTTTGAATTTGTGATTGCATCTATTAAATTAATTTTGAAAGTATTTGTGTCATATTTTTTTGGAGAAACAGAAGTAGTTTTCTGAATATCAGTCTTGGATGTCATGTTCTAATTTTTAGTAGATTTGTGTACCATACTGTCGGCAAAGTTTAATTGCACGAATTTTTTGCTATAAAACCTGTCGATGCCAGATCAAAGCATTGCAAATGTTCAATTATACATTTTTATTCAGAATAATGAAACTATTCATTGATTTGATCAAAGTGTATCTTTTTAATTCACACACTTGAACACATCTTTTTTAGGTAGTTAATATTGGTGTTAATAGTTTTGAATATTTGGCATACCAAATTTTGCCAAATATACTATGTCATTAAAAATTACATATTTTTTGTTTACAGACATCATGTTTAGACGTTCACTGGATATCACGAGCAAATGTAAGGCAGCGTAAGGGTAGAGCTGGTCGGTGTCAACCTGGTGAATGCTATCATTTATTTACGGAAAACAAGCTGCAAGATATGGGTCAGTTATGATATATATTATTCAAATGATGAATTTCATAAATAAACGAATGACATTAAGAAATGGAGTGACTGTGTGTGAGTCTGTATTTGTGCAGCATTAGCTGATTTGACCCAAACCATTGTGATTGAAATCGGATGTTAGTTAAAGGCTCTGGTTGCTTTTATAACATACAGCCTCTAGTATACACTTACCTCAATTACATTTGTCCAACTATAGGCAAGTTGTTTTCTGGCTAGTGTCTTCTACAGGAATAAATTAACCAATTGAAGTGTTCCTCACTGGAACAGACAGTGTTTCTCCAGCATCATGCAGCATGTAGCGGATTTTGATTGGAGGGCTGGTCTCAAGTGACTTCAGTGCAATCAGCATATACATGTACATTTGTAATTAGTCAAATGTACTTATGAGAGCCTGTGCCTATATCAGATTTTTATCTGTGAATATTTTCAAATTACTTTACCATTTACCATAATTACAATAATTACATTACAGACGACTTTCAACTTGCTGAGATGTTGCGTGTACCATTAGAGCAGTTAATAGTGCAAACGAAAATACACACTCCGCATACAATAGTTGCCGAATTTCTAGAAAAAGCACTTGAACCACCATCTGAAGATGCAGGTATGCCTTATGTCATGCCAGTGTTGTATTTTATGCTTCTATAATGTCACATGACTTGATTATGTGCCATAATTACATATCTATGAATAATAGATTTGCCCTGTGGGCAGCGGGCCTTGCGTGTGAGTGTGAGTTCCCATGGTACATGTAGGTACTGGAGATTCATGTAGCCAATCAGTGATGACACAGAATTTTTAATATGCAATCTACGTACTTAAGTTTTTAAGTTCACTAGGAAGGGCACTCTGAATGACTGGATTCCAGGCTATACCCTGATTACATTTTAGGAACTGTAAACTTGTACTGGACCACTAGCTGCAAATGTCGCACATGACACATAACTGTGTATAAAACAACTTAATACATTGTGTGTATGACTTTTCACATACAAAATGGAAACTACCGCATACTTGGCCAGGGCTTGAAACTTCCTGGTAACCTAACAACTGCTTTCAGTGAATACCGGTATAAGGTTAAAAAATACTCCGGGCAAATTAATTGCTCACCATATGAATATCTTGTCAGGTAAATCTAGTCCTACTAGAGAAATACAAAAAAAACATTCAACCAGATTAGATTAGATTAGATTAGATTGGATGAGATTAGATTGGATTAGATTAGATTAGATTAGACCACCACCAAATTGTTTAGCCACTGGTGAATATATATTAATTTATTGATAAGTGTTTATTTTACTTTCTTGCAGTTGAAAAGGCAGTTGATTTATTACAAGATTTGGATATTTTAGATGATGATGAGAATTTAACACCTTTGGGTAAAAAAATATCACACATAACAACTGACCCAAGACTTGCTAAAGCCATTGTCTATTCAGCTATATTCAGGTAAACATGTTTAGATTTTAACTCAACAATATTTATTTCCATGATGTTGACATGTTAACTGACCATATTTATAATATAATCTCTGAATTTTCTAGATGTGTAGACCCTATACTTACAATATCTGCCAGTTTGAGTTCTAGAGACCCTTACATGGATTCATTGGAAAGGCGAAGTGAGGTGAATCTGGTAAGTCTAGTTAAGTCATGCCTAATAGCTAATCGTATATGTGGTAGCTTCCTGTACTATTGTCCTTGTATGTATTTGGCAAAATTTGAGATGTAAAAAATTAACACCAAATATGAACTACCTTGAAAAACAATTCATAATAAATAATTCATAATAAAAATAATAATTATTTTTTCAAATGTGCAAATTTAAAGCGAGAGCATCGTCACCTGTGCACGCATGGGAATTGAGTCTCAAGCAACGATAACAACACATGCTAAAAATGCAAAGGCTCATGGGTAGACGCTTGTTTGTAAACAATGTCACGCAATGGCCAACTGACGCATGCGCAGGTGACAACTCCCCCGCTTTAACAGCATACTAAGTAAAAATTATATTTTCAGTGTGCAAATTAAAAAATGAATATAATTTTGATCATTTTGATAATAGGATTGTATTCACTTTCTTTTGTACATGTAGTTATGTTAATAATTATGTCTTACTCTTACAGCCTTCAACTCTTTCATTTGAGGAGTTTGTAATCTCCATTTTGAGGAAAATGTTCTTGCTAATTGATAACTGTATTGTTAATTTCCTTAACAATGGTAAGATAAAAAAAGGGGATGAGCTTATCTAGATATTGCATATTAACTGCTACAAGAGCAACTCCTGTTAAGCTGTCACATGTCAAGTATTTGAATCGCAGATTCTATTTCACAGGTCAAACGGAGGTTTTCAGGGAATTCAAAGAGCGACCATATTGGACTGCTAAACGTCTTCAGTGAATGGTTGAAATTCAGCATGCATAATAGACATGATGGCAGAAGATTTGCAATGGATAATATACTTCACCACGGTAGTCTCAACTTTATAAAAGGTACTATTAACTGTCATGCTGTCAAGTGTTAATTATTACTAGCAAGTCTAAACTGTGAAACTATCTGTATCATAGATTTGGTTGACTCAGTTTGTAAATGAAGAGAACATACATGTAGCTTGTTAACCTTTTCACCACCAGTTCCCTCTTTTCATCACAAATTCAATAAATAGTCCAGTTTATAGTCTGCAGTTCCTTCGAAGATTGGGACAAAAATAGCCAATTTTTATTGAGTAAAGACTGAAAATTGACAAACATTTTGTCTGTTGGCTCCAAAATTAGGGTTAATTTTTCAGAAATGTTGAAGAATATAAAAAAAAAGTACAAAATAAATTGGGTGGGAAAGCCTGGTGGTGAAATGGTTAATAAGGTATATATTTTATTTTAGGTTTGAGGAGACAAAAAAGATTAATAAGGTATATATTTTATTTTAGGTTTGAGGAGACAAAAAGATTAATAAGGTATATATTTTATTTTAGGTTTGAGAAGACAAAAAGATTAATAAGGTATATATTTTATTTTAGGTTTGAGGAGACAAAAAGATTAATAAGGTATATATTTTATTTTAGGTTTGAGGAGACAATTTTCTGAGAACTTGTATGATGCTGGTATGGTGAATTTTGAAAAAAGTGGATTAATGTATGTGGACGGGTGTAATGAGAATAGTGATGACCAGGAACTCATCAAGGTCAGTATATGTATCCTTAAATTAAATTTGTCAGGTTCATGTCTGTGCCGGTAGTTTTGAATAAAGATGTAATCTAGATGAGAACGTGTAATTTTCAGTACACCTTCACCAGCCAAGGACAATTTATTCGGCCAAAGCCCTCAACATTAACTCTTCACCATTATTTACTGTATGTCGTATGCTCATTTGCATTACCCAATCAGAACTCGTGATAGAAACGACACATTACTTTGTGAAATTAAAATAGTGGAATATAAAAATCAACGCGACGTGTTGCTAGCTCTTTGCTCTGTGAACGAGCTTACTGACTCAAAAGAAAGCGCTTAGTGCTGTATCTGAGGGAAATGATGGTTTGTTGCAACGAAGAGCATATCAAGCAAGTCGATATGTTGTCAGTTTCGACAGTTTTGTCAGATTACTAAAACACGGTTTGCACAAATATTTAGACATTCCATCGTCTTCATTCACTTGCCCATAAACAAACAAACAAACGTGTCAATGAATATAGACCTTCTGTTTTTGACTCCTGGTGAATCAGCGCTAAACCTACATGCCACCTTTGTTTTAATCTGTGATGACCCCAGACGTTTATGATACAGCAACGCTGATTGGTGGCGCCAGCTCCTTGGTGCGTCAAATAACTCAATTTACCTGCAGTGAAATACAACTTTTCCTAACACCATCACGCACCGGTTTTTGGGTCGATTATGAATGGCAGGTTTAGCGAAGCTGTGCGATTTGAATGTTTAGAATTTTGACCATAAAAAGCTGTTCTTGTAGCAACATATCTGAATATTCATTCAATAAAACAATTGACATTCTCTATCACACATATGCACTTGTTGTTTGGGTACGTACAATAACAATAACTGCATATCCGCAGTAGTGTTTTTGATTTTATATCCAATGAATATTGTCCCAGAAATGCAACATTTTTAGGTTATGATAAACCATATTTTGGTTTATCATAAATTTTTTTTATTGTTTTTCTCCATATTGCATCTTTTACTTGTTACATGTATTACATGTATGTAACTGATTTTAAAATATCTAAATGTAAACTGTACATTGATGTAGATACAAACTGCTGTAGGTACAACATGTGACCTGCATATATGCACTTTGACTTGAAAGTTAGTTTCATTTACATGACTATAAATAAAACTTGAAACTGGGTTTATTTTGAAGATGCATGTCATTCAGGATAGTTATCTACATCAGGTAATAGGCAATGTATGGGTGTTTCATTTCGTTCGAAACTTGCATAAATGTTCATATAATAAAAAAAGTTCATTGAGCTGAAATAAGTTTCCTTAGGTAAGAAAATATTGAAAAATGCTGTGTTTCTCATAAAAACATGATAAATATATTAACCACACTATGTTACTGTTACTGATATGTTTGTTTCCTGTACCAGGGAGTATTAGCGGCAGCATTGTATCCAAATATTGTATACGTCAGACGTGGAGAGATCATCAATGATAAACTGAAATTAAATAGTGTCATCTGTAAAGATTTGTAAGTGTATATCAAGATTTTTCAACAAACCTCATACTCTGTATTATTATGCAAAGTTGCTCATATTTGTGTTTCAGTGGGCGCAAACAAGATTTGTATGAATAATTTGCAACTTCCCCGGGATATTCCTTATCAATATTCCAATAACCAAATCAACTTCCTCCAGACGAATGAAGCGAGCACAAAAAATGATAATTTACAACTTCTTTTGTATAGTCACAACTTTGCCATAGTTTGAATCTAGACACAAATTAAATGTGATAGTGTGGATTTCGTTGGCATCGAAGGTTTAATTTCATTAGCAATATTTCATCACATAGTTTTTGCCAGATCAGCTGCATGCTAATATTATTCAAGTCTTTTTGGCCACTAATGTCCGATGAATGGCATATGTATTCAATAATTTTGTTGTGTAAAATCATTTTATCATTGTTAATAAATCATTCTTTTTTCACAGAGACAATAATAGGATTATTCTCCATCCAAGTTCAGTGAATTCAGATGAAAAAAAGTTCCCCCATCGATGGCTTACCTACTTCACCAAGGTCAATAAGATTTCAATTTTTTTTAAATACTTGCAATTGTTTATCATGTTACTCTGAGATAATCTGAGATATGTACATCAGGTACTAACATGCACTAAATGTAAACAGAAACAAAGCTGGTCTACAAATCATTGCTTGAATAGGTTTATGAGCACATACACTTTAAGGTTTTGTAAGGGCAGAGCAAATAGAGGGCTAATTGTACACATGTTCATCTGCTACAGTATTCATGTACTCAGATTTCATTCCACTGATATCTTTAGAGCTGCTTGATAGATTGAAATGAGGTTTGGATTTTTTCTGGTGGTATTATCAGTTCACTTATCTCACACCAAAATATATTTTAACCTTATTTATGTAAAGACATACACTTCTAGTAATATAAAATGTGTGTATATGTACAATTATATGTGAACACCAAACTTAATCTTGTGAATAAATACATGCACACATTATACAACACAACACTGTATATGCTGTAACTTAAACATCTGATGAATAAAGTATACAATCTGTGAAATCAAGTGAATGTGAAAAATACCCCTGAATAAGTTGATTCTTTTTCAAACTTATTCCCTACTCTTGTTACAGACCAAATCGTCAGGTACCTTTATCCGAGATAGTTCTATGGTGCATCCCATGGTATTGATATGTCTAGCTGGCAAGTCACTCTGTGTTTTACCTGTACGAAAGTCTGAAGGTATTATACATAGTTAAGTATATGTTCACATGATCATTCACCTGTAGAGTATCCCCTCATCATTATAATCTAGTTTACCATATTTGTTTTGTTTTGTTGAATCCCTGATTACTACAAAATTTCATGTTGTCATTGTGAAGTAATAAAAATGTAATATATAATTAGATGCAGTCCTAACACTGAGTGCTATAGGTCATGGCACTGGTTTTTCAAGTGTGCAAATGTGTGGTAACTATTTGGCTATAGCTGTGGAGTACATTCTGCCCACTAGCCAAATCCTGTTGATATGCAATAGTATGTATGGGTTTTACGCATTGTCCAATTGATATATACTGGCTAAATAAATAATTAAATGGTACAACGAAAAAGAATGGATGAACATTTACACATATGAGAAATAGTGAATTTTTGGTTCTCAATTGTTCAAAAATGATGGGGGCGACTTCTATTAGGGATGCGGCTTCTGATACAGATTTTACGGTACTGGCACATGTGTTGATAGAAGGAAAAAGACATACAGTTTGTTTTAATGTAAGTATATGTAAACATCGTCATTGCTACTTTGGAACATTGATCTACATTCCCCCTACAGCCAAATATCTTGAAGACAGTCGAGATGATGTTTCTGAACCTGTTGTGAAACTAGTTCTTGATAACAATGATAAACTGTCATTCTATACAACTGAGAAGGAAGCTGGATTACTGATGGATGTTGTAGAAGAGATTGATAATATGGTCTAGATTGTCTAACACAAAATATGACATTCCAGTTGGTGAGTAGACATAATTATTTTGCAATAATTAACATATTGCTCTTGTTTTTTGCAAATGATTTGACGAATGTAGGAATAACAACTGAGCATCCTTGGTCATAATTCATAATAATTTAGCACTAAAATATCTGCCATTCAGTCATTTTGATTTGTATATACATGTGACATGATGTTTTAGTGTAGTTTAAATGTGATTTGCAAAGTCAAGCCTGAAATACAGGAGCAGATGCAATGATGCACTGGAGAATCCACAAATCCCCAGACTTTTTTGTCAAACATACTTACTTATTTTTTACCCATTTCTCTGTCACTATACTATATAACTGAAGACAAAATTCCTAGCATAAATAGTTCTGGAATCATTCCTGACTACATACCAATTACTTTTTTCCCAGCCTAAACCAATTACAGATCGACACACAGAACTGCTAGATATTGTGAAGAGACTTGTAAACACATACCAGCAGCCATATATTGCTGATGACAACAATGAGAAACGTGATTCTAAGAAATCTGAAGAATACAATGGAACATTATTCTGGTGATCTGTATTTAAATTATTCTTGATGCTTGTTGCTAGAAACACAATGTTATGATGCAGTATTCAATAAATTGTGTAATATGTTATTCTACAGTGTAGGAATGTTTAGGAATGTAATGTTTGAAGATTTTTTGAATTGGTTTTTAATCATGATGCTCTGTCAAAATTATACACCCTAGTGCTTTCTGTGGCTTTCTGTGGAGTTGGATATTCAGTATTTACAGTCTGAGAGTGTCTGACGTTTAAAGTATGGTTTATATTATTATTATTATTATTTAATAAATGATATTAAAGTGAACAGTTGCCCAAGCTTTCTTTATTGTTTCATTTTTGTAAAACTGATAAATCATGTTTATAACTCGACATAACACTCTCAAACTATTATTTGCAAAGGCATTCATCTATGAAGTGTGATCTGAATACTGTGTTAGGTTATCCATGGTTTTTACATCAGGTGAGTAATGTTAGATTGCAATCAAGGAGTATTTTGCGTTGGGGAATATTTTATTCATTGCCTAATTTTTTTGTAGAGGGCCAGTTAAAAAAATTACAAATTAATTGTGAACTTATTATATCACATGAGAAAAATGCTCTACATCTGAATCTTGTGTTTGTGTAGGGTGGCACATGGAATGTTACTTGGATGCACTCCCATTGGTTGTAACACTGCAACCAATCAGAATGTTGAGACTAAATGCCTTACACTGTTGGGAAATTTTGTAAGGATCTTCTGGCAGTCTACCCTAGATTACCAATGCTTCATGCTTTATCCAACTAACCCATGTTCATTATCATGGATCAAATTGCTGTGTTAGACAGGACTTTTCCTAGCTATTTGGTGAGCGATAACTGGGGTTCTTTGGATATACGGTTTACCAAACTAACTGATGATGAATGCTCAATGCAAGCAATTTTAAGAGGTAAATTCATGGCACAAGAAAAGTCTGTCTCAAATAAAAGTATAAAAAGTATACAAATTGAAATACTTTGACCTATATTGATGTACCTTACGAGAAACTTGTTTTGTGAAATGTTCTTCGACTCGATGATATTAGATCGACAGAGAAGCACAAAATGCATTGGTGCAGTGTGTAAGCTGGAACTAAAAAGTGAGCAGACACCATTGATGTAATGTTAATAAAAATATGTCTTCAGAAATAACAAAAGCTGCACAGCCAGGATTACCAGACCAGACCAGACCAGACCAGACCAGACGAAATGAGTGAATATTACCAATAATAAAACCTTTTGAAAGTAATGGCAATGTGGTTTATTGCATGTCTCAGTTTGTAGAAGACATTAAGTGTTTGGCAGATAGTTGCCTACTGCAATG